TAGATAGATAGATAGATAGATAGATAGATAGATAGATAGATAGATAGATAGATAGATAGATAGATAGATAGATAGATAGATAGATAGATAGATAGATATCTCCTGAATGTTTCATTGTTTCTTTTTCTCTTTATTTGATTTTATTGCTTTACATTGTAAATGTTATCAATTACATGAGTACTCAATTTGTATTTTATGTCAATATTGATCATTCTAAATAATTACTGTTTGTGCATCACTTCCTACTCTTACACTGTTTCTGTAGCTCTTTCAAAATAAAAGCAAAGCAGAGTTTCTTGATGTAAAAGGTTTATTTTTGGACAATTCTGAAATGAGACATTTAAAAATGTCATATTTTTAGGCTCAGATTTGTTTTTCTGGGACCATTGTTCAAGAACCATCAGAAAGTTGAAAATCTGCCAATAACACCAATTTTTGTAAAGAGTACAACACTGACACTTGTTTCTTTCTTTTTAAAAATGAAATTTAAAGTGAATTTTAAATAAAAATCCTTCTCCGTCAGAGTGCGTCATCAGCGTCCATCCCGCCATCATATGAGGGGACTGTGGTGAGAGCTGTGGCTCAGCTGGAGGAGACACTCAGGAAACTCAGGAAGAAGAAGCTGTCTGAGGCTACAGAGCTGAAGAAGGTCCAGTAGTATGCAGTGGATGTGACTCTGGATCCTGATACAGCATATCCTTATATCATCCTGTTTGATGATGGAAAACAAGTGTATCATAGTGATGTGAAGAAGAAACTTCCAGACAACTCAGAGAGATTTACGCGTTATTTTAATGTTTTAGGAAATCAAAGTTTCTTTTCTGACAGATTTAACTTTGAGGTTCAGGTTACAGGAAAAACAGTCATTTGCTCTTGCCATGTTTCTACTTTTAGAAAAACTTCTCTCGTGGCATCTGTTTACGCTACTGGTTTTATTTTGAAAGTCCGGATAGGAAGTTTTGACCCTATGTCAGAGTCCTGGCAGTTTTCTGCCCTCTGGCGGTCAGACCTGAAACTACAGTATTGTCTAAGCCACTGCAGAAGACGTTTATCATCGTTATCAAACCTGCCATTTTTTTTTACCTTCAAATCTTTATTTGCTACAGCAACATAACAATTTACAATAACAACATGACTGTGACCAAATAAAAACCAGAAATAACAGAGAGAGGGGGAAAAAATTAGAAAACCAGCCCAAATCAAAACTTTATTTATTTATTTTTGCCTGAAGAGAAAACACAAAATTCAGAATTTAAGGGAAAAAGATCCAAAATTTAAAAAATAAAATATGTTTAAATGTAACTTTTATTCTAAGAAAAAAGTGTGTGTGGCACCTGACAGCTGCAGTCTTTGTTAGTCTGCATGTTAAACACAGACTGGCTCTGAGTGCATGATGATGATTACAGAATAACATGAAAGTCAGGTTCATTCAAAGCTCATCCTTTGAGGAGCTGCACATCTGTCTGCAAATGTGGAGATCACATTGTGATCACACAGGCTCATAAAACCTGTTGTTTATACACATATCTATTTATTTAAATAGAAATATCATAAAAATGATAGTCACCCATCCATTTACCCAGTTCAGGAGTGCTCGGGTGCTGAAGCCTATCCCAGCTCTCACTGGGCAAGAGGTGGGTGCATCCTGGACAGGTCACCAGTATATGGCAGGAATAACACAGACAGTCATTCACGCCTACTGCAGATTCCAGATCAGTAGTTCACCTAACGAGCACGTCTTTGGACTGTGCACGGGAAGAACATACAAACAGAAAGAACCCAGGCAGCCGATGGATTCAAACCCACAACCTTCTTCCTGTGAGGTGATGGTGCTAACACTCAAAAATTACAAATTTAAATAAATGAAAAAATATGAATCTATTCCTTTCTGATTACTTTTGAGCTTACCTGTGTAGATCCACTAACATCCACCAGAGGGGGCTGCAGTATCCACAGCACACCTTCCAGTTTTATACTAAAACATGTTATCGTATTAGATGGCATTGTGCTTCACTGGACTACATCACTGTTATGTTTAAGATTATGACTCAACGACAGAAATATTTTAATAATCCAGCGTTTAGGACATTCATTCAAACAGCAACAAAAATACAACAAGGGCTTAGATATAATATGACCAAACAAATATGCTAATGAGGTCTAAACTCATCTGAAATTAAACAATCCCAAATACAATCAAGCAAAAATATAATTATAAATGTAAATATAAATAATTAGTAATAATATAAAAATCGCAAGTGCAATAAATAAACACGAAATAACTTTAGAAATACAAATAAAATATTCAATTTAATAAATCATACATTATAATACTGTTCTTGTTTTTTGATGTTTTACTATATGATAAGATGTTATATTACATTTGTCCATTTAGGCCATCTATCTATAAGCACCTTTAAAAATGTCAGTTAAAATACTAATACTACTACTACTACTACTACTACTAATAATAATAATAATAATAATAATAATAATAATATTAATAATATGACAGTAAAATTAATTTAAAAAGTCAGAAATTTATTTAAAAAAGGTTTTCTAATGAGTTTGTAAAATGTCTGTCACTAAACAAACTCTGATTGTATGCATAACTTCTCTTTGTTACATGTTATTATGCATTCATGTCTCTATGTATTTGATTCCAGTGTGTTGTAGTGCATTACATTGTGTTGTATTGTAACATAGCCTTACAGCGTTGTATTAATGAGATGTATAGTTTATTAATCTATTTGTATTGTTAAATGACATTGTGTTGTATTAAATTATTTTATGTTGTATTTAATTGTATTAAATTGTATTGTGTTATATTAAATTGCGTTCCATTGTGTTACATTGTGTTGCATCGTGCTGCTGGAGTCCTGCCAGCGGCCACCAGCGGGGGCGCTGTTGTCACTTTGGTTACCCATAAGCGGGGGAGTGAGAGGTGCATGAAATGGAGAAAAATGGCGGATCATGTGCAGGTAAGCGGAGGTTTCATGTTTTTGTCGCGGATAATTTCTGTAGGCGGGCGCAGCTGAAGCTGAGGCCGGATCCGAGTGCGCCGCTCCCGGCACGGAGCCAGCGTGCAGCCGGTGCGTGCGGGCGGCGGCCGCGGTGGAGCTAGCGGGGAGAAAGAAAGGATGCGGCCGCCTGTGTTGACTTGTGGCCTGCTGTCACAGCACGGGCTAGAGGCTAGCCGCTGCTAGCAGCCAGGGGAGGGTTCGGGCTCCGGGGCGAACAAGGGAGTCTGCGGCCTCGAGTGTCCAGCCTGGTGAGTTCCGGCGTCCGTGGCCATCAGAGGCGAGTAACCGGAGGGCGAGCGGCGGGAAAAATCGATGTATTTCAGTGAAGTAAACAATGAAACAGGCGGTTAGCTGCAGACGGATAGCTGCCAGGCTAGCACGCACGGTCACCTGGCGCCACCGGGAACCGCCGTAAACACGCTTATCCCAGACGGACCGGGCGCGGTACCCGGAGCTTCTGTCCCGGAGTTCCAGGTTTTTGTGTTTTTATTCACGGCTCGCTCCGGTAACGACACCCAGCCATGCAGCAGGCTAGGCTAACGTTAGCATATCTACACGTCAACTTCTCCCGCCCGAGCGTGTTTGAAAACATGACCTGGTCTGTGTGAGCGTTAGTCGGTAAAACAGGGCGATGGTACCGGGTCGGACCCGCGAGGGGCTCCAGGGTGAGGACAGCGGGGGTTTTTACCCTGGTGTGGGCAGAATGGAGCGGCAACTAGCCAAGGCGCTGTGCTCCGGCACATGTTTGGGAAGCCGAGGGATGAAGTTCAGCTGCTCTGGACTTCCTCCATGATGCCCCTGCAGGGAACTCTGTGAGGAAACTGTGGAGACTTTGTGCTGAGGGGCAGGTGAAACCCCGACAGGTGAAGCCAGCTTTCGTTTTCTCTGCTGGTCACATGAGCTGTGTGTGACATGACATAATATATTGTTAATTGCGCACAGCATGCATGAACTATGAGGAGAAACTCATCCGATCCTCTCATGTTAGCGGCTGTAACAGCTCGTTATTATTGTTTCTGCTTCAGAGTAACTTTAATCGGTTTATCTGTGATCAGCTTTAATCCCAGGAAGGATTGTACGAACTCAGGTGGGGCACAGATTCACTGAATGTGGTCAAAGTGGAACATCTCAGCCTGATTTCATTAATATTTCAATAATTTACCAGGTAATCAAACGTTCAGGTGAGTTTCTGAGGGATTCTGGGTAAACATGTGACGATGATTTCAGGTTTTTCAGTCTCAGCTCTGGTCAGAATACTGGGGAGAAAATATTTATTAGTGATAAAAATGATAATATAAATTATTCTGGCAGCTATTTTCATGGTTATACAGATTAACTATAAATTCAAAGACATGAAAACAGCAAATTTTATAAAAACAGCTTTAAGTTAGCAGATTTAACCTAAAATAAAGTTTTTAAAGCTTTTTTTTTTTTTTTTACCTAGAAATGACACTTACTCCATCACCTACTCCCAGGTTTATGATCCTGTGAGTGCCATAAACTGTCTGATAATCCGGGTGAAAGTCTTCACTTATGTAATGGTTATACTGGTACCACTGAGCTGGATGTAGCTCATAAATTCATAATTAATAATGTGCCAGTAAAGTAAGAGAAGGGCCTCACGTCGGGCAGTTCTCGTAGCTGAAATCTAACAGAACGAAGACTTAAGTATTTTTAATGATATTAAATGACTGAAAACGAACCACTTAAGTTCATTCTGGTGTTACTGAGACAGTTTTTGGTGGAATAAAGATCAGGCTGATATTTACTGTTCGTATCCACTGTGTGCTGTTTGCTTTCACTCAGCCGTTTGTCTCCAGACTGATGATCATGTGGCTGCCTTGTTCTGATGGGGGGTTGTTCACTTTCCTCACTGTATTTAAAATAACATTCACGTGTAATTTTTAAAAGATCGTCTCACGTTAGAGCATGAGCCCACACACCTTCATTCCTGTGATCAAACACTAACTTTAGTCAGTTCAGCTGTTATGAGCTGTCATTCAATGATGATGTGATGTGGCGAGTCGATGGCCAACGCCATGCGGTCATGAGGTCAGAATCACCCGCCCGAGTCTAAAAAGTTCACTTAAAGTCCAACGTTTACCCTGGTGTTCCTCACGCAGTCAGGCTGGAGTCAGTCCACAGCAGGAAAAGAGATTTGGGCTCTTTAGCTCCATAAAACAGTTTCTAATGTTTGTGTAGTGACAGCAGATGATGATGGAGAGGATTTTTCTTCAGACATTTCAGGCACTGAATCTGCTGTTTTTCATACACCTGTGTGTTTATTTGAATAAAAAGGGGTGGCCTTTATTGACAGCCGTGCTCCTGTGATGTTCAGGATTCCTGCTAATGATGATTAAATGTCCATCTGGTAATCTTTAGATAATAGCTGATCAGCCGTCTGCTCCCTGACGCCTCCCACAGGTTCTCTGTTTATGGAGATAAGCTGCAGACCAAAAATCACCTCCTGAATATTTAATGATTCGGGAGGTTTCAAAGGATATCCCTCCATTATGTTTATTATGTTTCTGCACACATGGGCCATCGTAGCTCGAGCCTGCAGAGCTGTCAGGAGTTTATAGAATATAAAATACGTTAATAAATAAAAAATCTGCTCTCAGGTTTCGACTGAACCTATTCCTGTGAGGTGAGGTTATTATTTATTATATCTGTTTTCTGATGCTTACCTCGGTCTAAGCAGAGACTCCCCAGCTATGGGACGCATCCTAGTCAGGTGCTGTGCGTCTGTGCTACGAGCTCCTCCCAAATCTGCCAGCCTGTCTGGTCTCTAAGGGAGCTCCAAGGGTCAGATCACCTCCATCCTTACACCTGCGATCCTGTCAGGATCACACCCGACCTCTATGGCGCCTCCATGGGACACTGTGTGTTTCCAGGTGGATTAAATGATAGTAGTAGTTGCATATTTGTGAAGAAAAAAAACACGACAATGTTCAGTTTAAATACAGGTTATTTAAAGTCTTTGGTGAACACAGCTGCTGTTTGGACGCTTCGGTTGTTTTTGTAACTCACTTTCATTGAAGTGACTCTTCATGAGTTTAGATGAGGAATAAACAGTTTCCCGAGTCTCGCGTGCAGCTGAGTGTTTTATTCAGTGGTTTCATTCTAACTGGTCTGTGTGCCGTCAGCAGGGAGGTCGATGCTCCTGCAGCATCACCAGAGGAGGCTGAGATGTTTCTCTACTAGCTTACCTGTAAAGCTTCAGCCTGAAGCTTGGCTCACTGGCTGTTGGTGTTTCTGAGGTGGGCTGGACTCTCCTGAAGCCATAAAGAAAACACCTCTGTCCTCCTCCCACACCTGCACTGACACAAAGTTTGGTCTCTTTCAGCTGTTGCAGCATCTCATGGTCACTGAACCGGTGATGAAATCATCACACCTGTGTGCTCGTGTCTCCAGCACGGCCGCAGCATGTTTCTAAATGATGAGCTAAAGCATGGCAACAGAGTTGTGGTTTGACGCCAGAAAAAGCTCCGATGCAGATAAATTCAGATCTGTGACATTCACACTGCTGCTCGCAGGCCTGCAGCTGGACTCAAGCTCCCAGTACCAACCCTCTAAGTCAGATTTACCTTCACACTTACCTACAGCATTTACAAATTTGGGCTTTATATCTTTATTATAAAACTAAAAAAACAAATGCATCCTTCTGTTCTGCAGTTTTTATATGTCCTGAATATAATAGAGAAGAATATTGTTGAAGGAGCTTGCAGGGTTACGAGCAGGAAGATGTGCTTTCCTCTGGTTATCATCATTTTAGGACTAAGGTTATTAGAAACTCTTTGAGCAGACGGTCGAATAAAAAGAGACCAATTGTGTTAAGAGTTATTGACTGAATATGATAATTATGCAGACAAATAGACAGAATTTAAAAGGAATCAAAGGTTTGCTACTTCTTTCACGTTTGTTTGTGTTTCTGAGTCGTTTGTGACAGTAAATGTGAGTCTCTGGGTTTATTTAATTAAGATTAGACGTCAGAGTCAGCACAGGTGAAGTTTTCACTGTTTATGGACCAAAACACTGTTTATGGATTGAAAACACAAAGTTAGACCAGTGAGGACATGTTAGCTGCCACTGTAAAGAAACTGCATCCTTATTTCCACATGGATCAGCGTTAAAGCCGATTGATTTATTGATCGAGTGAGAGAAAGTTCCTCTCCAGTCCTTGTGATGGTGTGAAGGTGGAGATGAAGGGGAGGTCTGCATACAGCCCAGATGCAGGAGCCAGTACATTTACACCGTGATGCTCGGGTTAATGGTTGCTTTATGAGCCAGATTTTAAAATGTTTCCGATATGAGTGGTTTGAGGACTTTGAGTCGTATATCAGGGTGAAGTTTGTGTTAGCCAGGTAAAAATAAGGCTCCTCAATCACGTTAACTTTAAAGATTTTCTTTTTGTTTGATTGGTTTCTTATCTGTAATTGTTCTGCTGGAAATCAGGAAATTCAGATTACTTCCTCGAAGTCTTTCCTGTCCTGCTGAAAGCAGTTTTAGTTGAGCTGGTGAGAACTTCATTTCATGTAACTGGTCTGGTGGTTGGAGGCTGCCGGCTCGAGTCACATCACATTTATAGTGATCCTTTATTTATCAGGTAAAAGTCTCATTAAAAGTCTGTTTCAAAGGAGACGTATACAACAACAGTATCAGGATAAAGACGCACACAGAGCTGATATTCAGTCACAAACATGTGATCAAACAGAATAACAGGCCATCAAAAGCCGTCACTCTCAGTGGGATCTGAAGGTCGTGAGTTAATCTGTGACGCTGCTGTCGCTCAGTTTGATGGTTGTGAAAACTGAAATCTGAGAGTTTAACGCCAGCCCAGAAGTGTTGCTCAGTGGCAGCACGATGAGGAAACTTTGTGAGGAAGTTGTAAAACCAGCTCCTGTGTTATGGGAACCAGTTCAAATGGCAGAAGTTCAGGTTAGTCCTGAATAATGAAAGTAAAGCATGCAGCTCTCTATGAACCTCTGTGGTCATTGTCTAGCCCAGATTTCTTTGTCATTTTCACGTAATTACAGAAGCTTTTATTTTGTAAAATAGATTGAAAACAGTTCATTTCATATTAAATCAACCAAATCAAAGGAAACTTCAGAATCAGCTGATTTCATTTTTAATTTAATTTAATGAAGCCATGAAAAATTAACCTTAATACTGTGAATGCTTTCAGAGTTACAGGAAGTTTGGGAGCGTTTCTTAGATCTGGTTGATTTTCATATCTAAAACGGACTCAGCAGTCAGGACTCACTATCGTCCTCCCTCACTCTAATGGGACCAAAATAAACTTCACTTTTATTCACTCATAAAACTAACCTACAAACTCATCAGAAAGCGTTTGATGAGCTCAGAGGTCAGGTGGCTTGCATCCAATCAGACCTCAGAAGAGTCACCCCCTGCTGGTCGTTAGAGAGAGTGGATGTCACCTGTGAGATTAAAGCACCCAGAGTATGTATCTGCAAAATAAAAGCAGCAGTTAAAATCCAGAAAACATCCGTCTGCAGGCCAGACGCACGGCACAAATTTAAAAATAGAAACAGTTTGATTTAAAATTAGAAACTGGAAGCATCTGTCGGCTGCTGCACCGGGAAGAGCCGGAATCAGGCTGATGCCAACACCTTGGGAAAACATGGAAAATTTACACGAGGAAAACAAATTTATGAGGAAAACTGGAAAATGCTCTCGTTCTATTTTTATAACTTTTTTGCGGAATATCTTTTCGGTTTAGTTTTCTTTTTCTTAGATGTTATTAGATGTTAGGTAGGTGTGTGTGTGTGTGTGTGTGTGTGTGTGTGTGTGTGTGTGTGTGTGTGTGTGTGTGTGTGTCTGTTGAACTTGATGAGTTTCACGTGAAGCTGAGTGTAAGCTGAGGGTCTGCGGGCATCATCAGACGATTTGAGAGTTGTCTTCTATGGCTTAA